CACTCTTTTGCCTACCGACTGTTTGGAACGTCGTGGGAATGTGCCTCTCAACTATAACTCTCGGCGCCGATTCCCAATCTCCGGACACCGACACCGGACGCTTACGCCAAGTCTTCTGGGAGCTCGGCACCCCAACTACAAAATGCCCCTTCTGACAGGCCGCCAAGCAGTTCGACTGCACTCACCCCCTTTGATCAACACTCTTCGCCCTTGTCACGCTATACAGATTGGCGAACTGCTCATAGCTCGGCTCGCCCTCACCAACTATGCTGAAGGCTGTAATCGTCCCAAGAAGCGTGATCCAAAAGTTCAGATTAAACTGTCCTGCGCATAGCCAATCTGAGCCAAAATCTTCTGCACCGAATGCCTCAACGACAGCCGAAACCCGTGCTTGAAGACATCGGTGAAGAAGCAAACCTCATTCTCAGGATTGCTCAAAGACTCCAACGGCGCCGGAATCCGCATCTTCACAGAGTCCGGTATGTTGTAAAGAGCCCGAATCTTGGCTAGCTCAACCACGGACAGCGCATTCGGCTCTAGATGGTCTACTCCGAAGACTACACCCTTCAGTTTGGCCATCGGCACTCGTTGCCTGCCCTTGACAACGCTCAGTACCCCCTCTCCTGGCGCAGCGATTGACACATCGCCTGCGTCGGCCCCACGACATGATGTCGAGGGCTCACTACCTTGAGGCAATCTACGAGAAGTGCCACCAGCCTCGGTGCGCACCTCTGCCCCTTCCAGTATCTCAACACTCGAAGAGCTCCCAGAATCGGCACTCTTACTCTCCTCGGTAGAGCTCCCCGAGGACGATTCGTCCTCGTATGCCCTCGGACTACGCCTACTCTCGGATTCGGTATATGACATCTACAAACACAAACAAAGGGAAACTAAATGCCATGTTAGAATCAAACTCCCATCCTACGCCCTAAAAGTTCATGTTCATGCAACAAATTCAACATTTTGACTCATCATCAAAGGAAACATGGCAACATACCTTGTTTGCACGTTGGTTGTTAGTTGCCGGGAATCGCCTCCGCCACAAATCCTTCGCCGGAAATCGCCTACAACGCCTTCGCACAGTGGCCGGAAATCGCCTCTCACAAGCTCTGATTGCTCTCAAAAAATTTCAAGTATTCCAACTATCGTCCCCTGCTTACATTTATAGGACGAACCTTGCATCGGGAAATGAAGCGACGCATCGGGATACGAAACGACTCGACCCTTCGCAGCCGTGCCGACACGTGGCACGCATGCATAGGGTATTCCAACCGTCGTCATTCGAAATGTTTCAGATTCTCAAATGTTGCAGCTCTCACCCTGTTTTCGAGCACAACTCCACAACTCCACCAGCGAACGGCAGGCGCACATTGATGAGTTTTCACTCACCTCTCGTGCCGAAAGGCAGGCGCACTTTGATGAGTTTTCACTCACCTCTCATGCCGAACGGCAGGCGCACTTTGATGAGTTTTCACTCACCTCTCATGCCGAACGGCAGGCGCACTTTGATGAGTTTCCACTCACCTCTCATACCGAACGACATGCGTTCACAAAACCAAGTCTACACTCGCCTCTCGGGACATTCAGCATCCCTTGCTGTCTCTTTTTCCAAGCTCCCTCGCTCGGGCACTTGGGGGACTACATGGTCACCATCGGCAAGCCACGAAGGCAGGAACGAGACCATCGTGTTCGGGTCAGAATGCCGAAGACATATTCAAGTCCCCAACCAAGAAGTCACTTCTCAATCGGTAACTTGAGGGACTACTGTTTGTACCATATCTGACCCTCCACTCATACGGTGACACATGGAATGGTTAGCTCTCCCAATCGCCTAAGACAAGAGATTAATCGGCATCAGCTACCGATGGCTCCTAGCAGAATCCACAATCGGTACTGACGGACACTTCTGCAGAACAAAACCTCGAAGGCCCCGCCCTAAATATCCAAAGACTCGTGTCAACCTCGTAGGACCTTCCCACGAGTCCCACATCGAAATTAAGTACTAAGAGCATACTAAATGCCCTCTATAAATAGGCCCCTTCACTACAATACAAGGGGTAAGACTTTTTAGCTTGACTTTTATGCTAAATACAATGTCAGTAGCAAATGCTCTTAGAAAGAAACTTACTTCGGCATCGGAGGGTCTTAGGCTGGTTCCACACCGGTGCCATAGACCTCACGAGCCTCGGCTTCTTTTGATTCAGGATCGGCATCCCAGGACGGGAAGAACCTGCGTCGAACACTCAATCGATCCTTGATCGTCCACATCACCTGTAAGTGTCTGCCGCGCAAATCTCACGGCCTGGAGTTCCGGGCCGAGGGGATATGCGTTAACACGGGGTTTCCTGCTTTTGGGTGCGGTGCGGTTGTGCGCGGGCGTGCCAGCACGGTCTACCGTGCGTCGATGTGTTGATGAGTGTTGGATGGATAAGTGGTGCGCCTGTTTGAACTCGTCTTCCTAATCAAACGATTGTAGCCGAGAGAGGAACTGGTCTCGGCTGTTAGGTTCACGGCCTGAACTACAAGGCCGTTGAGTGATGGTGTTGGTGGTGGGTTTTGGGCAGTGCTCCGGCGCGCTGCTCAGGGAGCGACGGTTGTGTGATATATGGGGTGAGTGAACGAACAACAAGGATGGTGCTCCGGCGCCTTGAAAATCAAGGGTCGTATGATATATTGATGAATGGATTCTGCTTACAACCTAACACTACTCCTAGGAAAGCAAGTAAAGATATTGAAAGTG